ACACCATATGCTAGCTCACCTCATTAGATCCCACCACCATCCCCTCTTCATTGCCCCACTTTCTTAAACTCTAATCACTCGTTCATTTCAATGAAATGGATGTCGGCCCAGACACCGCAGTAGGACATTCTGCATAAGTTCGGCTCGTGTTTGAGGCCCAGAGGGAAAGTCATTGTGTCAGGCCATGGATTTGGGCCTTATGAAGGGTTTATGGGGGGGAGTGAGAAAGAGATTGAAATGTGATAATCGTGGGGGGTTTTAAAGCGACGGGATTGACAAACTCTGAAAGTAATGATGCCACTGACTCATTCCTAATCCACCACTGTTTTCAAATGAGTGCAAGTTTAAATACATCTGGGCAAAGGTTTGAATTTGAGAACACAAAATTTATGAGAAAGAAAAGAAACCCAAGAAAGTGAAAGAGATAGAAATCCCTTATTATCGATCCACCACTGTGTTAACACAAAAACAACCAAAATTGAAACCCAACAGCCAATGTCACTGATAGACAACACAGCACAAAGAAACACATAGAATAGAATGCATATTATCATCCGAAACCCAAAGTGGGGGGAAGGGAGTATCTTTATGCAATATCGCTTGGAAATTAAGGGTCAGAAAAGGCTGCATATTTTGGAAGCAGCAGGCAGGCAGGCGGCATGTTAGCGTTAGCTAGGCCAGGTTTCCAAAATGGTAAAAAAAGTGGGAGAAAGAAGGTCCGGACATGGGTGAGGCTGAGGCAGAAGAGGAATGGTCAAGAGGAGGATGAAAGAGGGTGGTTTTAGGCCAAACAATGGCAAGGGGGAAGTGGCAGAGTGGGTTTGCATGGAAATGGGCAGAGGGCTTCAGGGCTAAACCCCAAGGGGGCGAAGAAGGGAACAGAAGATATACACAGTTGGTTTGGTTGTGTAATTATGGGGGGAGAAGGCTTGGCTTGGAATGGTTCTAGGGTTTTACTTACTTACGTATTATGACGCTACTCTACTACTACTGCTACTCTACTATTACTGCTACTGCTCTTTATACGTTTTGGGCTCATTCTTCCCTCCCTCTGCTACCCAGATATGCATTCTTTTCCTTTATGTATGGCAGTTCATGTGAGCCAAGAAAAGAAAAACTCAAGTTTATAACACAGCTCTTTGAATAGGGCAATGAATTCATGCAGCTATAGTTATTTGAATGCAACAAAATTTAGGCTTTATTTGAGGAGTTTTTTAAATACCTGTTACCTAAAATAGGATGTAAATTGAAGTAGATAAATTTTAAGCTTAGCCACGTCATTTCTATATATTTACTTTGTGATTACTTATATGAAGATTTTATTTTGAATTTATAATTATTTGTTGGTAGAAACTTAACCTAATTTGATTTATTTTATTTTATTTTTTTGGTTGGAGTTTGAATGAAAAAGTGATGATTGATGGAAGAAGAAGGAGTGAAAATGATGATTATGGAGAAGTCTAGAGGTGAAATAGGATCTTCCATTTGTGATTGCCAGTGATCTTTGATTTGACCCTCATCAACATTCATCCATCCAATTCCAATTCCAATTCCAATTCACTCATCTTCGAAAATTGGTGCCTAATTTTATCAAATCTTCAAAGAAATCATTGTTCTACAAAGCCTGGAACACGCAATAAAAATAAAAACAAAACCAAATGGTGTCCCATTTTGGTGTCACTTCTTCCAATAACGCCGCCAAAGCGATGATGGAGCAAAACTCAGTTTTGTCTCTGTCTTTGTTGTCTGTCTCGTAGTAAAAAAAAAAAAAAAAAAAAGAACAAACATTTAAAGCTCTTGACATGACTTCTTTATTATACTTATCACTTTCAATCTTCATCAGAAAATCCCACAAAACCTTCAAACCCTAACCATGCCTCATCATCCTCATCATATTAACCCTCCTCTCCCACTTCCACCTCAACCCATTTCCGCCTCTGTTCCCTTCCCCCACTTTCTTTACCTTCACAACTCTCCCATGGCCTCCGGTTATCCGTCCAAGCCCTTGAATCCTGATGCCGACCCATTTCTCTCTGCACCCCCAACGTTTCTGCCTCCGCCCTCGCCCCATTTTGTGTCGGGGTATGGAAATTTGTATTACCCACGTGCCACTTCTGCTTACGCATGGCAGTTTCATAGTTTTCCGGCTGTTTCCTGCTATAATGCCTGGCCACAGGTTGTGTGGCCGTCGTATCAGCCGGCTGTGGGTTTCGGTGGCTGCGTTGTGGCGGATTCCAAACTGGGAAGAGAGTTTGTCGTTTCGAGTGGGCCAAATAGAGATATCAAATGTCCGACGCAATGGGCCGAGAAGAAAATCAGTGGCGATGAGGACAATAACGGCGATGTCGACGACCCAGTTGAGAAAACTGTTCCTTGCTCGGGAATCACAACCTTGATGATCAGAAACATTCCCAATCAGTTCAAGTGGGTTCTACTGTTCTTCCTCTTTTAATGAATTATATTACTAAAATATAACAATTTAAGAACGTGGCGAGTTCTTTGATCTGAGAATTTTCTTGGAGAAGGATAAAGGTGGAATCAGAAGTGGGGTTGTGGGCTTAATTCCTACTTTTGTTGTTTATCGGTAAAATGGGAATGTGGGTTTTTAAATGATTTCATGCTGCACTTTCTCTGGTTTCTGCCCTTTCTCGCTTTTTGTCTCCTCATTTGGTAATATTTCTTTATGAGATTCATTTCTCGTGTTCTTTTTTTATGTCTTAGCTTTACATTTTTTGCCTTTTTAACTTTAGAACAATTTTGAATAGCAGGCGGCGAGATCTTCTGCAGTTGTTGGACAGATACTGTCAAGTGATGAACCAACGAAGGGATTCTCGACCTGATTTCTACGTTTCTGAATATGATTTCGTTTATTTACCTATGGATTTCATGTGGGTTATGAACAATATCTCATAATTCTTATTGGGTTGCTGCAATTCGCCATTTCAGTGTGGTTGTAATCATTTATTTATGGCTTTACAGGAGATCATGGTACGAAGGGAAAGTGTCGAATCTGGGTTATGCGTTTGTAAACTTCACCACATCAATGGCTGCATCCCAGTTTTGCGCAGTTTATCACAACTACAAATGGGATGTGAATGTCAACAAAAAAATTTGTGAGATAACGGAGGCTAGGATTCAGGTTCATGTAGAAATTGATGAATTGTTCATTGATTTTATTGCTATTACATGTTTTGGAATGCCAAATGAATGCTTCTTTCCGATGGGTAACTCAGGGAAAGGAAGCTTTAAAGAACGCATTCAAGAACAAAATCTTCTGGTGTAGCAACGATCAATATCTGCCTGTGATGTTATCTCCAGCGAGCAACGGTCGACGTCGTTACCGAAGGGTGAATGTCGGTAGGCGCATAGCTCGTCTTCCTCGCAAGCCGCTCAAGAAGTTGAGTTGTTGAGGAGGAGAGGTCTCCATTGTAGGTGGCCACGCATGGAGTTTGGTTTGTGTTTTGGTTTTCTTTTCTTGTAGGTAGGTTGATGAAAAGGGAGGGTGTTGTGTTTTCATTGTCTCCCCGAGCGCCGCGGTTTGTTTGGGGAGAATTGAAAACACGAGGGGATGTTTGTTTGTTTGTTTGTTTGGTTGTGTGTTTCTCCTTTTTCTTGGGAGGAGGGGAGGGGGCTATGTCTGTATGAAATGCTTACTTTTCTGCAATAATATTCTCTCCTCTTTTACTCGGTTGTATATATAATATTTTGATCATCTCGAGAAATTGTTGGTTTGGTTGGTGGGTGGATTTGTTTTTCTGGTAATGGGTCTCTCTTATAATTCTCAAGCTTTCATCGATATTCTAAGCGTTATGGGTAAATAATTTTGAATACCCTATGAAATATGTTCCAAATTTGTTTTGTAAGGCTATATCTTTGTATTTTTACTAATGTTTTTAATAATCAAGATGAATATGAATGCCGTTCATCAATTTATATAGGATAGGTATCCATCCTACTACGAAGATTGTTCTTAGATTCTCTAGTAGGTGAAAATCATGAAGAAAAGAGCGATGCTCATACTAAAAGACGCTCATCGATCCATGTGGCTTGTATTCAAATATAATCGCGACTCGAGTGGTTGGAAAACCCTTAATTGCACCCACATAGTTTTCAAAGGGGGTTAGGTTAAATGATATTTCTATATAGTAAACATTTAATAGAGTAGAATGGCTATATACATGATAGAAGATTATAGCTATATAGTTATATATACTCAACAAAACTATATATATATACCCCTTAGGTTGCTTATTACTACACATAAATATTTGGAATCATCTATATAAAAACTTTTAGTATTTTTACTTCTATTTTCTCTTTCCTATTCTCCGAGTTCTCCTGTTCTATGTTCATCTACATGAGTTGTTGTAGGGTCCTAAAATAAGATTCATGCATTTGAGAGCTCAACTCTAGCCCTATAAATTCATGTATTATTGTAGAATTGGAAACTTTCTCTAATAAGAAATTAGTTAAGAAGTTATAATCATCTCCATAATGTACAAGTCATCATAGTTAGTTCTAAAAATGTCATGCATACCCCAACACCAAAAATTGAATCAAGTTCACCAACTAACCCTTAATCATCTCCCTATAACAAAATAAACATATCATCAATAAGGACATAGTATAGTAATCTAATTATGGATATCTAGTCATCCTTTTAGATTTTCGGATACAATAAATTTTGAACTAAAACCCACTTACTTTATTGCGATTGAAATCGGTTCTCTCTCCCCAAAGCCTCTTTATTCTAATTGATGCCACGTCCAAGGCCTGGCGCTGACGAACAATACCTCCACAGAGCACATCATTTTATTAGCGATCTTGTTGATGGTTTAGACTAGTTCATCGTCCCCAGAGATCCAATACAAAAGATTGTGTTAGTAAAATGAGTTATAATAATGGACCCCTCGTTAACTACTCGGGGATTAGAATACTCATCAATAATATGCAGAATATTGAGCATTTGAAGAGGGTGAGCGCATCTGTAAGATAGAACATGGCACAGCAATAACACAAAAGTATTTTCATGAGGAAATCAGATGCAAATCCAGAGTTTAAACAATGTCTCTAAGCTTTTACAAGAGATGCAATGGCAAGGGCCTCAACGAGGAGCCTTCTTCTTCCCTGCAATGGCGACCTTCTTACCCTTCAACGTCCTGCAGTTGTTTTTCGTTCGCTGCCCTCGGCATGGCAACCCCTGGATGTGTCGAATCCCTCTATAACACTGAATCTCTTTCAATCTCCTTATGGCAAGTGCGTTGAAACGCCTCTGCAAAACCCAACAATCACACTTTTAAGCACTTCACAAAAGTAACAGAGACAACCAACGTTTGTAATGCTAACACACACACACACACACACACACACACAGATAGAGAAAGAGAGAGACCAGATCTCCTTCAATCATGTACTTGGAAACTTCATCTCTGATAGATATGAGTTCCTCCTCAGCTAAGTCCTTGGTGATCTTATTCTCCACGTTTAGATCAAACAGTATTTTCTTAGCATTGTTGCGCCCAATTCCATGTATATATTGAAGGGAGTATAGAACTCGCTTGTTGTTTGGTATCTCAACTCCTCCAACACGGACACACTTGATTTGAAGACCAGGAACCTGAAAGGTTCAAAATTGAAGGAAGAAAAATGAAGGAATCATTCAAGAAGAAACAGGGATATCTTGTGAGTTCGAAACTTCGTAGGAGTTAAACACCGGACCTCCTACTCCGATACCAAGTTAAATCACAAATCAACTCAAAATCTTAAGCTAATGGGTTACAAACTTTATCCTGTCCAGCATAGACTAGCAAGTCAAATTTCCATTTAAGGTCAGCCATTCATTGCCATAATCTACTCTTTCCGTCCAATTATATCTGCTTAATCTTTATAATCCATCATGCACAGAAAGGGTGAGGGAAAATGGGATTTAGGATCCGGAATTTGATTCATTTAGACAATAGCAATTAGGGAAACGAAACGCAGAATTTTTGTTTCATCACACTGTTCGATGAAGTGTAGAGGCAGAGTCTAGTGCTGTAACCGAGGAAAAACTACGGAAAAACTGAGTGTAGAGCATCACAAAAAGGAAATTCAAACGAAAGACAAAAAAAAAAAAAAAACGCTGAGTTGAGAGTATGTTGTGTAATAATAGTTTCACAGAATCAAGCTGCAATACTCACGGGCAAAGGGAATGCAGAAATCAAGAAATAGATACAATATGAAATCAAGAAGACAATAGCCAAGTTCCGCAGGATAAATATAACTGAGCAAAATCCCTCCACATCCGAAAAAAATACATGGAATTAAAGCACGAAGAAACGATAGAAATGGAAACTGTAGAGCCGAAGTAAGTAATTGAACGGAGGAAGAAGGTAAAATTGAAGAAACAAACTCCATAGTTGAAGTCCAAAGAAGAGAAGATTTACCCGAGGGTTTGAAATGGGGAAGGAGATAGCGTTAGAGAGAGGATTGGAGGTTCGAGAATTGCAGATAAGGGAGAGCGAAGGAGCGACGGGCAATGCTAAAGTGTGCGCCATTATCTCCTCTCTTCAAACTTCTCACTCACCGAACGGCAATCAGCACATTAGTGGATTTCTTCAATCCGATTGAACTCCGAGCGGCTCTCTGGTTTCAATGCCCACCTTATCTTCTTCTTCTTCTTCTTCTTCTTCTCCATCCCGCTTACAAAAATGTGGATAAAGGCCAGCTCAAACAAACTCAGAGGCCCAAACTTATTCGTTTTATAATGGGCTTAGCCCAAAACTCAGGCCCAAACTTATTCGTTTTATAATGGGCCTGCCCTAAGACCAGGGATGATGTATTAGAATTGTTGTATCTTATTGAATTATAAATCATATTTAAAATATTAATATTTTTTATCATTTAATATAAATTCAATTTGAAAATGGGTTATGATCCACTCAAGTTGAAGATTGGCATTTTCAATGCCTAGTATATCATGATCATCTTGGTTAGGGTCCGTGGTTGCATGTTCATATCACGCCAACGTCATATCCTTTATTTAATTTTATATTGTATTTTGACTATTCAGCCATTGTCATCCCAAAATGTACTATAGGAGATATGACCAGCCGTTAACTCCTCCCACGTAGATATTGTATGATCATTCAGTCCAGGTCTGCTAGTCCTCAATCATCTCAAAATGTACAATAGAGACGAAATCACGTCTAAGCGCCTGTAAGCCCAGCCCTGAATCATCTCAAAATGTACAATAGAGGCGAAATCACGTCTAAGCCTATCAATCCTGAATCATTTCAAAATGTACAATAGGGAGATGCCACTAGTTGTCAAGTTTTCCTACCAATTCTTGGGTATATGATATTTAAGTTGTGGTGTTTCTTTCTTTGCAAGCAAACCTTCTTTCAATTTTGCTTTCAAACCCTCCTTCAAAAATCTCTCTACCCCTATTTTCTAAAACATTTTTCTTAAAACGGAGTCAAAGGCTTGAACATATGTTGTATGACTATAGAGGACACAAATCCAAGTTGGCTTGACTCACTCGGTGTTGAGAGTGAGTGCCGCACAATCATAAAAATCCACGGCCAAAGAAAGTGCGATTGTGACATCTAACAGCCTATCATCGCTATCGTCTATCCCGATGCTTATTGCTGTGCTAAAGTTGATAATCCATTCCTCTTTTTGGATCCAACTATGAGCTTGATGCAATGAAAATAATGTATAGCTAAATAAATGTTTTTTTTTTCTTTTTCATATAGTATGTATATTATATTGCACATCTAATATTGGGTATATGGGCCTTCTGAAATGGTGAAAATTAACACAGCCTCAAACAAATAGATTAAGAGAAGTGAACAAATTACGAAGAGTTTAAGCAATTAAACCAGTAGAAATGCAAATTTGAGGCATTTAAACGTTTCTAAAGAGGAGGAATTCCAGACCCATTTGTTAATAACTAGTTCATGTGATGTGATGTATATACGTTTCTAAATGTGATGTATCAAGTGCAAATGAAGCTTTACAAATGTAAAAAAGAGAAGGAATTGCAGAACCATTTTCAACGAGAAGCTTTCTTCTTTTCAGAACCGATCTGCTTCGACTTCATAGTCCTAGCGTTGGTCTTTGTTCGTTGGCCTCGACATGGCAATCCTTCACCATGCCTAATCCCTCTGTGGCACTGAATTGCCTGCAATCTATCGATGTCCTTCTTAACACACTTTTTCTGCAACACAGACAAAAAATAAACATCCTGTTAGGCTCTCCTAACATATTTGAAATTCATGGGAAGAAAGATGGCGAAGAGAGCCGCTAATTTACCAACTCATGTCCGACCATGTACTTAGAAATTTCGTCCGCAAGAACAACAATCTCTCGTTTAGTCAAATCCTTGGCAAGCTTATTCTCCAAGTGGAGCTCAGCAAGGACTTGCGGCGCTCTCGATCGGCCAATTCCATTAATGTACTGAAGCGCATATTTGAGCGGCTTGTTATCGGGAATCTCCATACCCGCTTTTATGTGAATCGACTCGATCTGCACATATCATCAACAAACATTCAAAATCTTCCAACGCACAAATCGAAAAACAAAACTCCAGAGATTCACAAGCCCTAGATCCTATTACTCTCGTCGCATCGCAATCATCAAAAAATTACGCAAGGTTAACGAACTCACTGATAATGATCGGAAGCGATGAAGAAGATCATTGGAGACAACCCCCAGGGAACGACGAACTCCGAACATTATTCGGCGGAGGAGGGTTCCAGTGCAGCGGAAGAGAGAATTCAGACGGCGAGGGAAACAGAGAGCCGTAGTATTGTTCGGCCAAACGAAGCCCACGGTTTTCAAATCCAACCCGCTCGCCCGAGAAAGCCCATTAAGAAAACGAGTTACATCCGTGGGCTCTTCTAGAATTACTTGATCCATTAATCTTATCGAGTCCATAACACACAATTATTTATGATTTAATTTGATTAATTTCTATATAATATGAATTTTACTTTCATTAATTATATTTTAGTTTTTAATAAAATTTAGTAATATCAAACAATTATTATTAGTGATTTAATATAAATAAATAAATAAATGTACTGAAAGCAAAAATCATCCTATTACAACGCCAACTCTTAATGCACTAATTATTTTTTAATGTGATTAATAAGCACATTAATCATAGTCATGTATTATTGTAATAAATAAAAATATTTTAACCCACCCCTAATTTGTGTTCAATTAAGCTACTCTCACGTCATCGAAGTCTTTATTAAATCGTCACATGCTACTCTTATTTTTCAGGGAAAACAAGGCATCTCTGCACAGATAATAACGTCACAGAGATAGTCATGGGACTAAAACTAGCATAAACATTTCTTTATTTTATCTAAATTTCACATGATTTGTTTTTTTGCGCAACATATATAAATCTATGACTTGGTTTGAAATGTTTTAATAAGGATTAAATAATAACTATTAATAATAGATATGAAATTTTAAACGTGCCAAATTGCAAATTAATTATTTAATTAATGATTTATAATATTTCATTAAAGGATGACGCGGAAAATAAAAAACAAAATCGCATTGAAAGCAAAAAGCATCCTATTACCACGTCGACTCTTAATGCTTAATTATTTTTTAATGTGATTAATAAGCACATTAATCATAAACACCTATTATTGTAATAAATAAAAATATTTGAGTTCAATTACGCCACTCCCACTTCATTGGCGCTTTTATTGAATAAAAAAAAAAACTTATAATATAAAATAATATTTGGTTAATATGAAATTTTTAATGCATTATTTTATAAGAAAAATTAAATGAGTAAGAAATTAGCGCGGAAGATTATCTAATTAATATCCCTCCCTATCTATTTTAATTTTTATATTTTCAAATATCTAAATTTCAATTATTTTGGAGATTTAAAAATGGTAAAGAAAAATAAACAGATATATTTAAATTAATAATAAATATTTTACACAGGATAACTAAAAGAAAATTGCTTTTAATTTATATTATATTCATATTAGCCATATTTTATTGCTTAATTTATATATTTGATCAGTTTATTTATAATCTGATAAAAATATTGATTCATGGTTACCAAACTTATAAATATAAAAGCATGAATGAAAATATGTACAAAATAAATAAATAAATAAATAAATAAATAATAGGCGGTGAGGACTACAATATATCATGTAAGCCCTGAGGTAGCGAAGAATTCCCCCCTTAATAATTGGAAAAACAACGGCACAAATTAATGGGACTTCAAATAAAATAACAATTTACCATTTTTTATTACGTTGACTTGGAATTTGTCAACACGTACTTCACTACAATATTTCCCCAATTGCCGCCTAGTTTCATTAGTTTTTAAATTTATTTTTTATTTGTTGGACTAATTTAATTTGAAGTTCTTTTAAGTTTAGAATTAAGGATCAAATTGTTAGACAAACACGACTCTACACAATGGAATGGGATGATATCTCATAGCTTTGCTTTTGACTTCCTCGCTGGTAGCAATGTAGTTAGTATTCCTCACCATCTATTATCATTCTAGGACTTTCATCATCTAATAAAAACTTAATTTTAAATATTAAAGTCAGGATCGTGTTATTGAACAAATGTAAAAACAATAAATAAATAAATTATGAAATTATGTGACTAAATTAATATGTCCTAACATGTTGAACGTAACGTACCAGGTAATTCAAATTTCAATGCTCAACAGGACTGAATCTACATGCAGAAAATTATAATTAAATTAAATGAATTTTAGTTGGTTAAGTTTAATTTAATTCAACTTTTATTATTATTTGATTCAATCAAATCAACTTAATTAAACTAATTTACCCTTTTTTTCTGTAAGCTTAATTTTTTTAATCATTCTCCTCATATGATTAATTTACTTTGAATTATTCCATAAATTTTCTATTTTTCATAATCGTGATTCTTTTTTCACCATTCTTCTTATTATTATTTTTTTAAAAGAGTTGATTGAATTTTTATAAATAATAAAAAAAAGGACTTAATCCAAGCCTTATATATACTCATCCACACTAATTAAATGGTAAATATTGTTATTCTTAAAAGTTTGAGCAACTTGAATTACTTTATTAAAATGGAAAATTAAAACATATATTATCACTCGAGATAGTATATTTTTTATTATAAACTCATGATAATTCAGTCAATGTGGGACTTTCATCCACGAACATATATTACCATTTCCCTTCCAATTTTCACATTTCAACTTCTTGATTGCAATTACCAACCGTCATATAATTTATATTATATTATATTATATTTTTATGATTTCAATCGATGTGATTTACTGGTCGATCAATTAAAATATTAAAAATTAAAACTTAGAGATATATGTGTGTTAGGAATATGTCTTTGTTCAATAAATTTATTTTTAACTTTTTACCATTTTATCTTTTAACCCTTCAAATATTGCAAGTTAAAATATATCAGGGTTAAGAAAATGATTTAGCTATTTTAGTAATAAATTTAAGAAAATGATTTAGGTATTTTAGAAAAAAAAAAAACAAACAAACAGGAATAGATTGAGGATGAGTATAAAGTTCATCATCCACTGTTTTGTAAATCTCCTCGATTGGTCTAAGTGTGTGAGTGTTTCTCAAGAGAATTGTGTTCAATAGATCATAGGTATATAAGTAATAGATAATAAACTGATCATGTTTCAAACCGAGAGCTAAATGACATTTTTCGGGTAGAAAATTCTGAGCATCCTCCCTCCCAAACATAGGTTCAATCAATTGACCAAAATTTGATTAAATTTTTTTTAATAAGGAAGAACAAATCCAAGTAAAGTGGAATATTCAAAGTAGGAGCCCTCTAAATATTTTAATTTAATGACTTGGATTTCCTTCCCGTGTTGTTGGAATCTCTATATAAACCCCATTTCATGGACCTTCATATTCACCACTCAAATCTTAATCTTCTTAACTTGTTTTTCAAACAAGCTTAAGCGGCAACTCCAAGATCATGGCGGCTGCCGTTGATCACAAAGCCCTCGACTTGGAGACACCCACCAACGGCAGCTTTCTAGTTCAACGCTGCAACTCATTCCGGTCCCCTAGTTTCAAAATCAAACGCCAACCTGAAATAACTCTCACTATTGACGATGACGATGACGATGACGATTCCTCCCTTGATCGCCACGATGACAACAATGATTACTTTTGGGATTTAATCCGAAAGGGTAAGGAGGAAATCGAGCCGTCGGTTCTTGATCCAAGGGACGAGGGTACGGCGGACAATGGGATCATGAGAAATCCTTCCATGATCCGTCTTACCGGAAAACACCCCTTTAACTCTGAGCCGCCGTTGGACCGTCTAATGCGTCATGGCTTCATCACCCCGGCCCCACTTCACTATGTTCGTAACCACGGTCCGGTTCCAAAGGCTGACTCGTCTAATTGGACGATTGAAATCACCGGACTCCTCGAAAATCCGACAACATTCACACTCCACCAACTTGTCAATGACTTCAGGTGCTTCAATATCCATTCAACTCAAAATGTACTAACTTGGTTATAATAATTTATTTAAATTATTTTTTTAAATTTATGCATATTTGTTTGAATTTTTAATTATATAAAAAAAATTAGCTCGTGTGTTCAACGTTTTTAACTCTTTTTTTATATTCTTTAATTTAGATCTATCGAGTTTCCAGTTACTGTAATGTGTTCTGGCAATCGACGGAAGGAGCAAAACATGTTTAAACAAACTATTGGGTTCCATTGGGGAGCCGCTGTGACCTCTACCTCACTATGGCGAGGCGTGCCACTACGTGAAGTACTGAAACGGTGTGGCATCTTCAGTCGTCATAGAGGAGCCTTATATGTATGGATGGAAGGTGCTGATGACCTCCCTGGTGGAGGAGGCTGCAGCTATGGCACCAGCATAAGAAGAGAAATGGCAATGGACCCATCAAGAGATATCATAATAGCTTACATGCAAAATGGTGACCCTATCCCACCAGACCATGGCTTTCCAGTAAGGATGATTGTACCGGGATTCACCGGTGGGCGCATGGTAAAATGGCTCAAACGAATCATTGTTACGAATAGAGAATCTGATAATCATTATCATTTTATGGACAATCGTGTGCTTCCATCTCACGTTGATTCTGAGTTGGCAAATGCAGAAGGTATTATTATAAAACAAATACATAATTTATGAAAAATTAAATTAAAGTTCAAATATTGCCGAGTCCTTAATGAATTAAAAGTGAATTCATTGTGGATATTATTTAGGATGGTGGTACAAACCAGAGTATGTTATCTACGAGATGAACATAAACTCGGTGATAACAACGCCCTCACATGATGAGATGCTATCTATCAATTCACAGACGACCCAGTCGACATACACGTTGAGGGGATACGCATATTCGGGTGAGCCAACTTAATTAATAATTTCACCCTATTTTGATAATAATTTTCCACGTGGGATTAATTATAAGATTTGTGTTTTGGTAAAGGTGGTGGGAAGAAAGTGACACGGGTGCAGGTGACGTTGGACGGTGGGGAGACGTGGAAAATATGTAATTTGGAGTACCATGAGAAGCCCAACAAGTATGGAAAATATTGGTGTTGGATTTTCTGGTCGGTTGAGGTGGAAGTTGTGGAGCTGTTTGGCTCCAAGGAGATTGCTGTCCGGGCTTGGGATGAGACCAACAACACCCAACCAGAAAACCTTAATTGGAATCTCGTGGTAATAATTAATAAAATCAATGATTAATGATTTGTTTACAGTAATGAAACTAATAATTAATGAATTAATGAATTTGAATTTGAATTTAGGGC